TTTTGTCAAGAAAATGGTGCAATAAAGTGTTCAGAAGACTTGCTTCTATTACCATGTGGTTAGGTGCTTACACGCATAGGCTGACAGAGCCTGAAAAATCACGCTACGAGGAAAAGGTGCACCTGTGCGGCCGTGTTGACCCCTTGACTTGAACAAAGCAGAGGTGAAGTGCGACGTGAATCTTTTGCACACATGTAGATTTCATAGACATCAAGGTTTACCTCGTCCATGCAACAAGCTTTATAACTTGAGAGCAGGTGGTCTTACAAGGCTTTGGAAGTTCACAATTATCTCACCAGCGGTTGGGTGTAGGAACAGTGCCTCAAAGCACTCGCTGACAACTGAGTGGTCATTGGTAGCTGAGTAAGGTTGCAGTGAACTCTAAGTGCGCCACGGCGCAGCAGGTGGCTCTGCCAGCGTGTCGCCGACCGACATTCCTTTCCCTCCTTCTGCACCACCAACAAAGGCGTGGAGAGGGAGAAGAAAGGGGAACCGGTCCCAGAGTTGAACGAACAATAAAGTTAGATAGTATTCAGACTCTCAACAACACGCTTCGTATCCGCATCACCTGCACATACCAACATTTGGTAACCCGTAGTCCCGAACATGGCACGACACAACACTGTCGACAGCCCGATAGTGGTTGTATTAGACATAAAACTTCCTTCTTTTTGGACCAGCGACCCGGTACTTTGGTTCATCCAGGTGAAGCTCAGTTCACCGCACACCACATTACCGCTGATACCACCAAATACTACTATGTAGTGGCCAACATTCCACCTGCCACAGAGAGTGAGGTGCGCGACATTCTGCTTGCCCCACCAGCAGAAGATGCGTATAGAGTGCTAAAAGAGGCACTGGTTCCTCGTCTCACCCCTTTGGAGCCGGAGCGCCTGCAGCGGCGGCTACGCGAGGCCAAACTGTACGGCCCCCAATTAAGTCAACTGTTGTGCCAGATGCAGCAACTAGCGGGCAGTACAACAAGCCTCAACAGTCGCCTGGTGCTGGAGCTTTTCCTCCAAAGATTGCCCGCGATCAAGCGGATAGACGTCATGGCCTATGAAGAGGCGGACATTCACAAGATCATGCCAGCGGTTGCCACAGTGGTTGCCAAAGCATCGCCATCCCTGCCTTGCTGGAGATTAGGGCAAATATTTCTCGCTTCGCCGACACCGTCGCGGAACTGCAGTTAAGCGGAAGCCAAAGAACACGGTGGAATGCTGCAGAAGAACAGCAACAGCTGTGCTGGTACCACCGGAAGTTCAGTTACACTGCACAGAACTGTGTGCCCCTATGCAAGAAATCAGGAAAAGCACCTAGCCAGCTCTGAGGCCAACAAGTACCACCGGCATGGAGGAAAGTCGCGCCTCATTCTTTTTCTTGACAGGTCATGAGAAAGGCACCTGCTTCCTCATTGAAACTGGAACAGAAGTGAGTGTGCTGCCGGCGTTGCCAGCTGATCACAAAGGCCCGAGCTCGTTGCCGTTGCAAGCTGTAAATAACACGACAATACCGACGTACAGGCGCCGCTCTCTCTCACTGGACCTTAGTTTCAAGACGACATTAAGGTAAATATTTGTGGTAGATGACGTGAAGTTTGCTGTTCTTGGAGCAGGCTTCTTGAGTCACTTCGCACTGCTTGTTGATCTACGCAACCGGAGTACAGGATCCCCTCTCACAAGCAGAAGTGTGCGAAAAGCCATCTAAGCATCCTCCTTGCAACCCTACACTCATGTTACTATTGGCCCATTTTACGGCTATCCTACAAGAGTTCCCCGAGCTCATGCGGCTGCCAAAGACTGGCTGTGTCGTCAAGCACAATGTCTCCTACCACAGGCCCCCGGTTTACACATGCCCACGCCGCCTGTCCCCCCAGAAGCTGAAAGTAGCACGACAGGAGTTTGACGAACATGCTCGAGCTTGGCATAATTCGCCCATCAGCTGGCCTTTGGGCATCCCCACTACACATGGTGTCAAAGTCTACACCAGGAGCCTGGCGGCCGTAAGTAACCATATATATCCGAGTTCGTCACTGACATCCACCACATCAAAGAAGTCGACAATGCTTTTGCCGATGCCCTTTCACGTAGCCCAGTCAGCGCCATAACCTCACTCACAAAAATGCACCTGAACAAAATGGGGGCTGCTTAACGCAATGATGACAAATCGTGCCACCGACTAGAAACATCAATGTCACTAAACCTGCAATGGTTCCCCTCACCAGGTACGGAAGGCCTTTGCTGCGACACGTCTACTGGCAAGGCATAACCATTTGTGCCCACGCATTTCTGCCAGGAGGTATTTACATCTCTACAAAAGATGTCATACTCAAAAATCCTGGCTACGCAAAAGCTCGTCACAACATGTTTCGTATGGCCTGACATAAACCGTGACTCCCAACAAAATACCCATGAGATTCTTCCGTGCCAGCACTCCAAGGTACAGCGTCACACCGTGACACTGCTGGGGATGTTTCCTGTACCAGATGCTCAATCCTACCATGTACACGTCGACATTTTTGGGTCGTTGCCACCCTGTCAGGGCCAAATGCACTTGCTAACTTGTGTGGACCGTTTCACGCGTTGGGCAGAGACTATAGCCATTCTTGATATTACAGCAAAAACTGTTACTCGTGCTTTCGTTAGACACTGGCTATGTCACTTCGGCATGCCATTCTCCATCACAACTGACAGAGGAAACCAATTTGAATCCGCATTATTCAGCAGTCCGACAAAGCTCATCGGTATATTGCGGTTCAGAATGACGACCTACCATTCGATGAGTAACTGAATGGTTGAGCGATTCCATCGGCAGTTGACAGCCGCACTCATGGCAAGCGAAGAACACCCTTGGGTCAAAGCACTGCCTATTGTACTTTGGGGCATACTCAGAGCGTTCAAGGCGGACGTTGGATACAATCCTGCAGAACTTGCCTACGGCACAATCCTACGCCTTCCAGGTGAGTTCTTTGCACCTGACCGACAACAAGCCCACATTCCTGCAGGTGAGTATGCATCGCGCCTATGTCACATCATGATGAAAGCTTGGCCTACACCTCCACGACATCCTACACAAGAACATACGTGAGCAGCGAACTGAAGTCGTGTAGCCACGTCTTTTTGCGTGGCGATGCAGTACGAAGGCACTACACATACCTACGATGGACCCTTAAAAGCTATTCGTCATGAGAAGATGATTAACATTGAAATTGCGTCCGCAAAAAAGCTATGTCACTGGATTGAGTCAAGCCGGTGCACAAGGAAACAAACTGGTCCACGACAGCAACCTCCACTGACACTCCTAATACCTGCAAAACAGCACCACATTCCACACGGACAAGGGAATTCGCTAAAAGACGAAATTTCGCCACACACGCTGTGGAAGATTGACAGGTGACAGGCGAGGGGGGCAAGTACTGTGGTGAACTTGAAGTGCGCCATGACGCAGCAGGTGGCACTTCCAGTGGGTCACAGACATACATTGCTTTACCTCCCTCTGCACCACCAACAAAGGTGTGGAGAGGGAGAGGAAAGGGGAACTGGCCCCAGAGTCTGCTGAGTTGAACTAACTAAGAATAAAGCTAGTTGGTATTGAGACTCTCAGCAACATGCTTCGTCTCTGCGTCACTCACGCGTACCAACAAGCTAATTTACTTCTTTACAAAACTATAACATGCTGTGCATTAGAATGGTGGCATGAACTTGAGCAGTGACCTTTTATTTTTTTTTAACTTGCTGTGTAACTTGAACCAGTTTATGACTGTGTCACGGAATATGTAGCTGTGCTGATGTACCGAATTTTAGATGTAGCAACGTTCAGTCTCATCGTATTCTCACTTCATGGCATTGTGTGCCGCAGCTATTGCACAGTGTGGTTACTAAATATCCTCATTAATTGTATGACTTTTTATTATGCATTTCGCATTGGCAGCTACGTAAAAGATGAGTGGATTGCTAGCGCTCACTGGTAAGCGGCTTTTCTCCGGCTGCTGAGGCACAACTGTGATGTTTATGTGCAAGTGCCACCTGCATGGCTTTTCCGAACTTGCTCCTAGGTCAAGGAAAGGTTTCGTGAGCGGGAACTGCATCCATACACAGCACAATTGACCATTGTGTCAGGAAAAGCAAAGTTGAAAAAAAAAATCACGTTTCCAAGCACGACACAGCGGCTGTCGAACACCTGACTGTCTGCGCCATACTGCTAAACCGGCTGAAGGACCACAGCAATGGCAACCGGAAGTGCCGCCACATGGCGGGCCGGCCTCACTCAATACCTCCCATAGTGTACAAGTCCTCTATGAAGCGCCGTGCTACGCTGTTGCTGGCACTCGAGTAAGGAGACACCAAGGAAAAAATGAAAAAAATAGGCTACGAAGGCCCCTCCCCCGTCTGACAGAGCAGAGGTGCCTACAAAGCAGTCGCATGTCTATTTCGGATGAGGACTGTTGCTGATGACTGGCGACAAGTTATTTTTTGAAAAAAAAAAACTAATTTATATCTGCTAATTAGTTACAACAAGATGTAAAAATATTACTCGAAACATTACAACTTCATAAAAGTAATTGACAATAGTACAAAATTACTAGAAAATGTAATTTATTACATGTAATTGTTACTTTTAATGTGTTACGTAAAAACTGTTTGAGGCAAAGCTGCCAGATCTTGCCATGGTGGACGCGCGCCTGTTGGACACACACCAAGTGCACTCGGTAAGAAGTGCAGTCTGATGCAGTGGCAATTTGTTTCTTCTGATCAGAACACCTTCACCTTCATTCTCATGTCGATGTAGTATATTGACGAAATTACAATGACCCCTGTTGATAATAACCTCGGAAATACCGTCAGCGGATTTCTTTTGCACACGGGAACATTTCCTCTGCCTGAGAGGCAGAACTTCCAGTCACTCTGAGCCGCACGTTTCAGGTGCACTTAACGAAGTGTAAATGGAGAACATTTAACGCTAGTTGGTAAACGCTACTAAGTTTCAAACAGGATTCGTACCGCAGTAAGCGCTGGCACGCCCGTAACGTGGTACTGATCATCGAGCATGGGATGGGTAGCAGCCGGCGTCACTTTCAGAACAGGGCATTCGTGGGGAAAGGAACTCGGCAAGTGTCTGGAACAAAACAACCATCACCATCTGCACATAGCAGACGCGAAGCGCACGGCGAAATTGTTTACTCACATCTCCAGGTTGAAGGAATTTCCTTCAGCAACAAACGGGATCCGAAACTCCTTGTCGGCTTCGACAACCACGATACTGCACAAAAGCCGATTGCGTTTAGCGCTTATTGAGCACAAACACTTCTTCGAGCTCTTTGATTTACTCACGAGTATATACGATGGCAGCATGCCTTAATTGAGATTACTCTAATCAGGAAACCATTTCTATATGCTTTTCAACGAGAGAGAAAAGTCGCCCTCTGTCCATCGTCGTACTACCATGCATTCGTGGGCGATCGCTTTTATAAGCTCTGCGGCACAGTCGCCAGGCAAGCAGTGCTTAAACTTTTGCAATGAACTCGCCGGGCGTTCACTTTGTTGCATGACAGAGAAAGCGGAACAGCAGTAGTGGCCGGCTATATTACCGAGCAGAATGACAATAGTCACCGCTCACTTGGGACAACAAGACCTGATGGAGGCGATTTGACGCTGTCTTTGCAGTTGTATCGGTGATGGCTGGCTCACATCATTAGTCCGGCGACCAAAGATAGCTTGAAACATTATTACCGCGGCACACGAACACAAATTACAATTTTCGTTCCTAGCAAAGCCGAATCAACTTGCTGCATCAAGTGACTGATTGTGCCGTGGTGACATCACAGAACGCTTACCATTTGTGACATCACATTGTCGTGTGTGTGACGTAGAACATTCTTGTGCACAATCTGCTGGATGTGCGGTCGTTCTGCGCCAACGCCTCCTCTAGAAGGATGCCTGCCGCATGAGAGGAAAAACAGCTGCCACACCCTTTCTCTCTTTTGTTTTAAAATGTTTTTGGTCGCTAGCGTCACCTGTGGCGGACGGTGCAACAACGCAACACTTTGCATAGCCTCCGAAACAGTAATGTACAGTTGCAGGTCTCGAACAACTATAGACTGACGCCCGCCTATGGGTCGAAGACACGGAGGAAGTCCTCCGTGGTCGAAGATGAAAAACGCCTAACTGGTACCGCCCGCCGTCGTGATGATAGTGTCGGTTGCAAGCGCCACTGCGCGGAAATTGTTTAAAACTGGAGGCAGGTCAACTTTGCTAGGAGCACGAGCCGTTCCTCAGGCATCTTTCTAAAGTTGGCGTTGTCTCCAATGAGACGCTGTTTTGATTACTTTATTCAACGCCTCCTCTAGAAAGATGCCTGAGGAATGGCTCGTGCTCCCAGCGGAGTTGGCCTGCTTACAGTTTTAAACGATTTCTGCACAGTGGCGCTCGCGACCGACACTAACATCACGACGGCGGGTGGTACCAGTTAAGCGTTTTTAGAGTGTACTAGAATAGGTTGAGTGGCGCGACCGCCGCTGTTTTCCTGAAGCTCCGTACGCGGTTGCGATAGAGGGCGCTACGAGCAATCCGGCTTGGTCGCGCATCGCTCGTGCGGTCGTGCGTTGCCGGGCTTCTGCGCCTTTGGCGACGGCCAGTTTCTTACCGGTGTACGGCTATAGATTTATACTGTCAGAGTAGCATTAAAAATGGTGTTTCCACACGATAATCAGGCTTTCGTCTCATAATATTGCCCCTAAATGTTGCTGCACTGGTTTCGCGGCTCTGAGCGTCTGCTACGGTGACGCGCGAATGCGCCCCTTGCGTAGGTTCTTCGCGATTCCGTTTTTTTTTTTTGTCTTTTTACCAATTGAGAGAAACTGTCAAGTCCGCGTGCTGTCCGTCTCACTGTGCATGGCCGCAGTAAAGCGAAGCTGTAAATAGCAGTTCAAATTGGAATGAATGTCGTCAGCGAAAGCTACACGTGTGCTTTTGTCACAACGCCTCGGCTACGGGAAGGAATGCTTTAAATAACGATGCTAATAGAAAACTGCTTTTTCTTACCCCCATATTAAAAGGACAACAGCGATGTCTGCATCCCTTAGCTTTGTATTGGATCAGCAGCAAATATACAAATATCGTTCAATGTGTAGAAACAAGCAGCTGCAATTTAGCCAGAGGATAAAGCCAGGCATAAACCGACGCGGTTTTTTCCACCTGTCAACAGCATATTAAATGTGTTTACAGACACGACAAAATAAAAATAAAGATGTTTAAAACCGGCTGCTATATACCCTACAAAGAAATATCAGTCACACACGCTATGCATAAAGATACATTTTAAAGGAAAACAAAATAAAAATAAAGATGCTTAAAACTTATTGCTTTACATATATACAAAGAAGTATCACTGTTACACTGGCTATGTACACAGATAAACTTCAAAGCACAAAAAAATCACTGTAAATACTATGTACCAAGAAAACTGTTACAGGTATGTAACAGGACGAGTGGAGCACTCAGCTGTACGGGAATCCTACACGCACCTACGGAGCTTTAGGTGCTGCAGCCTCCTGCGCCGTTCTTCCTTAGCTCTATTGATTCCTTTAACCAAAAAGTGCAATCGAGTGACAACATAAAATTTTACCACATGAGACTTCACTGCTTTTGCATGTTGCCAAGGGGTCTCCCTTCAACCCTGACCAGATGCAGCACATCTAAAATGCTATCACTGCGCAGTTCATTAGTGCTGAAGCAGTCTGTAAATGTGTCTTCTAAATAGCTAACGAAGTCAAACAGCTCCTTAGACGAGTACAACAAACCACCTTTGTCGCAAAAGTTCGTAAAGGCCGAACACTCATGTTCCTTCTCTTCTGAAGCTGGAACAAGCAGTGAAGTACGACAAGCAGTGCATCCTGACTTCTGCACACACTTTCTAGCAACATATCCAGCCATGTAATATGCTAGGCGAGAGTCACTTTTTTTTCCACAAGGCTGTAATGCTCAGTTGCGGCAGCAATACTGTCATGGCAGGCAGCGCTTTCTATCACGTCAAGATCTCCTTGAGCGATGTGGTCATCAATTGTTTCCTGCAGGCTTGTTGCATCTGCCGAGTGTGCATCTCCAGTGTCGAGCAGTGATGTAAGCACCAATGGTGTAACGCTCGCACCGTGCACTGGCTTAGCTAGGCTATAGTAGCTCAGGCAGTTGACAGCAATTAAGAACTGCTCTGGGGTCGGATGGTCATTACAGCCCGACGACTGCCGCACAACTCCAAACAAGTTCTCGAGTGGATCTTGGCTTAGGTTACTCGTCATCAAATACCTGTAGCTTAGTTCTGTGGTAACATAGTCCAGCAAAGAAAGCACACTGGACAGCGTAACCCTCAGGCCAGTAGCTGTCTGCTTGCTAAGGAACCCGACGCCCTTGCCGACATGCTGCTCCCACTTGTCAATGTAGTCTAGAAAACTGGAGAGCGCAGAACTACCACTTGAGTGCGGCCAAAGAGCCTCGGACTTGAATCTGGAGGTCATCAGTTTGATGAGAACACGCAGTCCCCGTCGCCTTCACTGCAAATTGCAATGGCCCGGCGGCGGACGCGGAGGAAATTTCCAAGCCGCTTCGATCGCAGCGCCCCCACGCTAACTTTCCGCAGTTCGGGCTTCGCCAGGAAGCGTAGGCGGCGCCCGGTGATCGCGCCACTCAACCTATTCTAGTACACTCTAGCGTTTTTCATCTGCGGCCCATAGGGGCGCGTCAGTCGAGAGTTGTTTGAGACCTGCACCCATAGAAAGGGCAGCGCAAAAACTCGGAAAAAAAAGAAAAACAGAGTTTTTGCGCTGCCCTATGTGAGGAATATGAACCAACTAGCCCAAACCAAAGTACTTCTTGAGACCTGCAACTGTGCATCACTGTTTTGGAGGCTATGCAAAGTGTTGCGTTGTTGCACCGTCCGCCACAAGTGACGCTAGCGACTGAGAACATTTTAAAATGAAAGAGAGAAAGGATGTGGCAGCTGTTTTTCTTCTCATGCGGCAGGCATCTTTATAGAGGAGGCGCTGCTTTATTATTATTTTTTACCCAGCATGCCCGCAAGCATGAAAGCCTGAAAGCCTCGGGTCGAGCACGCAACAGCATTTGCTCGGAAAGTACTGTAAATCCAACAAGCTTGGCTTAGCCGACCAAGTGATGCATTGCTGTGACTCTAACGCTTGAAAGGAGAATCAACTACACTTGGTAAGAAATGCATACGTGCATTCCTCGTTCTTTCCGCAACAACGCTGCTGAGTGCCGCCCGCTGAATTCAATGTGCGTCCGTATTTGAAGTTAGGCCTAGTCGCTAAATGGAATATCTCATCTCGACGTTCGAGCCTCCTTTTTATGCTCCAGTACGTGTCGTTCTAGTGCGTTAATGCGAGAGGCTCATTTCCGGGCCCGGCTGTTCACTGTTTCGTAGCCCTGGCGATCGGTCTGAGTTAGAAACCGGGCGCCGTTGAAACGTCACGGCGTTGGAATGATCCAGTGGTTTAGTGTTTACTTCTCGTCTCCTCGATTTGTGCGGGGCTTGGTGCCGTTTACGTGCTGCTGCAGTTACGTCCGGTCGTGGGTGCAAAGGATACTCCAGGGGCGAGTGGGATAGACCCAACTAGAAAGGTCTTACCTCTTTGTTCTCGGCAGGTCGTGCTTGCCGTGCCTTCTTTAATGCAAATGGAACAGTATCTCACCTTTTAGCGACCACAGTGACGATTTTGCGTGTCTCTGTCAACACACCATTTGAGCTTCTTATCGAGACGCGTTAATTGCCTTTTCAGTGCCCGCATCTTGCCGTTCAAACACGACAGGGCGCAGGTTCATTTTACATCGCATTTGCGTTCAGTTCAGCATTGCGCAGTCATCAGGAGTTCCAGCACGAGGGCTCAACCTGTGCTCGTTAGTAATGGACAGCATCGTGTGCAGGCTGTCTTTTTAAACGTAAATTACTCGAGTTGTGCACCCAAAGCTGTTGATCGTTTCTTGGGAGCTTACCCATAGCTGTGTTGTGTACACCTGTAAAAATACTGCTGCTCTCTCTTTGCTTGTGCTAATATTTGGTACTGCAGGTATGTATGAATTTTAGCAAAAAAAAGCTTTGTCAAACTTTAATTACTCTTGCTGTAAATCTGAATTATGTTATAAATAAGATCAACTGGGGTGTAGTATTGAAAGGAATATTTGGAAACTACAAAGATTTTTTTTGTGTGATGAATTCTATGGCGTACCACTTGTTGCACCACTAGTTCTTGCTAGTCGACCTATGTTGCGTCCGCTGTAGGCTTTTCCAACAACCCTGCCCCCTTGCAAGCACATTTCTTAAACCCCTGACGAATAAGACCTTTGATCAAGTTTCTCACTTGGAACACACAACGGGTAGCGGACTCTTTTTTTTCACAGGTCTTTTCTGGATGCAAGTTTAGGCCCGAAAAAAGGCAGTTGTGAAACCAGTGGGTCTCTTACAACAGCAAATAATAATTGGCAAAGCTTGCACTAAGATGGACAATTCTGAGTATTCTAGGTTGTTGCTGGGCTACGTCCACGTTAACTCGGCGAGGTTAAACTGACAAGACATGGTTGTCTGAATTCCGGAGACAGAAACCAAGTGCTTCCCGTAAATCATTTTTGGCCTTCCGGGCTCTTCTCACAGCCATTTGTTGGCAAGCTGTCGCCTTCTCCATTTTTTGCGGACCAAAGTTGAATATAGTGGTATTTATACTCTGTTTCAGAAGTTCCCTTTGCACTGTGGACGTTACAGGCCCTTCAGCCAATAGAAAGGGCGCTTAGCCTTTACACATGTATTCATTCTCGTCGCGTCGTCTGCTCACTGTATTCAAGGTGTCTGCTCAACGAATTGTAGTTTTTATGGCTAGTTTATTGCCTTATGAATGTAAGAAAAGCTATTGAAAAAGCAACTACACCGGGTACACGAAGAAGCACGAATTTGTAGCTCTGCTAAAGTTCAGTAGGATCTTATGCTGGTGGGTAACTTCACTTTGTGGCTGTTTCTCTCTGTTCGCGGCTTCCGTATCTCTTTCTACGTCGACGCATTTCTTCACGTCTCCTGCTGCAATGCTCCTTTTCTCTCTTTTTTGTTTACACCGAAAGAGGATCCAGCGTGCACGGAACGCTGTGCGAGGTAGCATGCTTGATATTTGAAGATGCAGTGTTCTTGGCGAAGCAGTCTGAACACGACCTCGGAGCATTAGGCTTAGAAGGTGTGGCTAAGCTGTATATATCGCTAATTACGACGAAACCTACCTGGTGCTTTATTCCCAGAGTAATATTGTCACAGGTAATGGGTATGAGCCATCAACTATAGGTGGAATCCCTGGGAAGTGAAGAAAGAAGAGGGCTTTTGTGTCCTGGTCTGAAGGCAAGCAAGACGTTGTTTCGTCGCTGTCTGTAATTACGTTCGTGGCACTGGTGGAGGTGCTGGGTAAATGCGCCTCGGCTTCAGATTTTCAGCCGACACACCGAGCTACTTGGAGACAGCTACAGCTCCCACGGCAAGAAGCAGTCGCCGCCTGCGAGGACTATCTCCCGAGTACCGTCCCCTCTCTCAAGGCGAGATGGCACCTTCAACTAACAACCAGGTGAGTCAAACCAACGACGCCTATTCTTTTCTCCCGCATGTTTTTCATGCGCCGCAAACACCACGCTCATTTCACGGAGACATTTATGAAGATGTTGACGACTGGCTTGACCACTTCAATCGAGTTGCCAACATCAACGAATGGGATGAAGCTCACAAGCTGCGGAGAGTTTACTTTGCGTTAGAAGACTCTGCCAAAACGTGGTACGAGAATCACTAGGGTTCCTTTGCGACGTGGCACGAGTTCAGCCGACAGTTTCGTGATGCGTACCGCAGCACTGAAAGGAAAGAGAGAGCGGAGCAGGCAATCTCGTCTCGGAACCAACGACCCAACAAGAGAGTTTCGATGTTTGTCGAGGACATGCTTCGACTCTTCAAGCGTGCTGACCCTGCAATGTCCGAGGAAAAGAAGGTGCGGCATTTAATGCGTGGGGTAAAAGAGCAGCTCTTCGCCGGACTCGTGCGCAATCCACCGACGACTGTGGCAGAGTTCATAAATGAAGCAACCGCAATGGAGCGTACTCTCCAGTATAGGTCGTCACAGTATGAACGCCACGACGTGACCCCTGCTGCATGCTTTATCGGGGCTGACAGCAAGAGGCATGCCCTCGCTGAGTTCATAAGAAGCATCGTGCGGGACGATCTGCGCCAACTCCAAGCAGCGGGACCCCAACCACCCGTAAGTGATCTCACAGACTTAATCCGAAATGAGATCCGACAGGTGGTCACCCCACTCGCGCCAACAAGGCCTGAGGCCCCTGTGCTGACTTATGCGGCGGCTCTGCGATCCCCTGCACCACATGGCCCTGATCCCACCATGGGGAGAATGGATCAGGCTAGCCATCGATTCCAGGGCACCTCTTCGACTCCGCCACCCGCCTCAAGGTTTCCGAGTGCACCAACTTATCGTCCGTCTGAATCGCGGCAGAACGCCACAAAGGCCAGCGTGTGGCGTACGTACGATAACCGTCCACTCTGCTACCACTGTGGCGAAGCGGGTCACGTCTACCGTAACTGCCAGTACCGCCAACTTGGTTTCCGTGGCTTTCACCCTGATGCTCGGCGCCCGCGTTACGATGAGCGTCCTCGCGACATCGAAGCGTACCTTACGGGCCAGCAAGCTCCTCGCCTTGGTCAACGCCTCCAATCACGATCACCATCACCTCGCCGCCCCACGTCGCCTAGCATTCCCTCGTCATCTTATGCTCCTTTCAGAGGCCGGTCACCGAGTCCCCACAGGGGAAACTAGAAACCGCGGCTCCTGGGGGTGAAGCCGCGTCCCAACGAACTGTCAAAGAGCCTCCTTCGACGCAAAGACCCGACGAAGACCGTTCTGACTTTCCAGTCATTTCCGAAAGTCATAAGACTGTTTCCGCCGACATCACCGTACACGTCGATAATCACGTCGTCACTGCTCTCGTCGACACCGGCGCCGATTATTCGGTTATGAGCAGCGCCCTAGCATCCCAACTGAGAAAGGTAACTACCCCTTGGCAAGGACCGCCGTTGCGCACGGCAGGGGGCCACCTCGTCACGCCGACTGGAATGTGCACAGCCCGTGTTCGAGTCCCTGCTTCGACGTTCATAGGGTCTTTCCTCGTATTACCTGTGTGCTCCCGTCCACTCATTCTGGGGCTGGACTTTCTTCGCGAACACGGCGCAATTATTGACTTACGAGACTTGCAGGTGTCGTTCGAGGACCCGTTTCATCCTGAACCGGAAAACGCCCGCTCATCGAAGGCTGCCCTACGTGTATCCTCCGAATCTGTTACTCTGCCTCCTCGCAGCAGCCTTTTTATCAACGTTGAATGTGACCAAGACGTCCCCGATGCTGTAATTGCAGAAGGAAATTTGTCCCTACTTTTTGCACAACAAATCTGTGTTGCCCGAGGTATTGTTCAGCCCAGTAGAAAGCAGGCTTGCCTATTAGTCACGAATTTCAGCGAGGAGTATCGCCATCTTACCAAACACACTGCGATCGCATACCTTGAGGATATTGCCGACGTCCCTGGTCCCTCAACATTATCTGCTCTTTCGTCGTGCGACGATTCCTCCATGACATTTGCAAGCACTCTCGACGTAAACCAGGGTCTACCGTCTGCACAACGGGAACGTCTTTTGAAGCTACTCGGCTCATTTCGGGACTGCTTCGCTACGACTTCGAAAGTTAACCAAACACCGCTTGCCAAGCATCGTATCATCACCGAGCCTACGGAGACACCCATTCGACAGCATGCCTACAGAGTCTCGCAAAAAGAACAAGACGTTATACGCCAACAGGTCCAGCAGATGCTCAAGGACGATGTCATCCAGCCATCGACCAGTCCCTGGGCGTCCCCTGTTGTGTTAGTAAAGAAAAAAGATGGTACTCTGCGATTTTGCGTCGACTACCGAAAGTTGAATAAGATCGCAAAGAAAGACGTGTATCCTTTACCACGAATAGACGACTCGCTGGACCGCATTCGCAATGCTCGTTACTTTTCTTCCATGGATCTACGCAGCGGCTATTGGCAAATATCTGTTGATGAGCGCGACCGCGAAAAGACCGCCTTCATTACTCCTGACGGACTCTACGAGTTCAAGGTCCTTCCCTTCGGCTTATGCTCGGCAC